TTTGAAAAGTGCTTTGAGGACATAAATGAGTAACTGTCTTGGAATGGAAAATCCATTCAAAATGACAGTAATCAGCCACCTAAATCAAATCAAGTTCAGAGAGTCATTTTTTTACTTTTCAGTGTTATCATTATTATAATGATGCCTCCTTTTCTTGGCGGCATCTGAAATTTGGAGCTCCCATGGCTCAGGTCTGCGACTTCTTTCCTTCTGTGCCCCTGGCTCATTCCTAAGTGACTTCATCCTTTCATGAACTGTCATTCCCAGTTCATGTCTCTAAGCCCAACGTCACGCCTGAACTCCAACTACCTATGCCATTCCATACTGAGTACATTTAAATCCAAGTTCTCCATTCTCGGCCCCCAAATAACAGCTCCCCAGTCCAAAAGCATTGCATTTGCTTGCTTCTTTTCTTTTTCTCATATTTCTTACCCAATGATCTGCAAATCCTTAAACCCATCACTTCCCCTAAAAGCACTATGTCCTTCTATAGTTAGACAACTATAATGGCTTCCTCAGGGGGCCTTCCTGCTTCTACTCTTGTTCTCCCCAAAACAAAGAAAAACCTTTAAAACCTTTTCTCAGTACAGCAGCCAGGTGATTTTTCAAAACATCAAGAACCCATGTCCTTCCAATGCTTTAACCTTCAGCTGGTTTTCTTCACAGTGTTCTTTTCATGGCCTGTGAGGCTCTAGATTATCTGGCTCTGGACTACCTCTCTGCCCTGTTTCTCTACCAATCTTCTCACTCTCTCCACTCCAGCCACACTGACTTCCTTGCTGTCTCCTCAATATGCCAGGCAAGCTCTTACCTCATGGCCTTTGCATATGCTGTTCCCTTTCCCTGGAATTCCCTTCTTCCAGATAGCCTCATGGCCCACTCCCTCACTTTATTCAAATCTCTACTCAAATGTCACCATCCTAGTTCAAACAATACATACACTTCCACTCCCATCTCTAACTGCTTTACTTTGCTTTTCCCCACTATTGCCTGACATTCTATTATATGGGTTTATTGACCTGGTTTGAAATGTAAACCTCATGGGGCAGAGTCCTTGTGTGTCTTGGTCACATTCCCAGGGGCTAGAAGAGTGCCTGGCATATAGCAAATGCTCAATTGATACTTTCTGGATGAATAAATGAGTTACTATTATCTTAGCTATTGCAGAGCTTCATAGTGTACACAGCAATCACTAACATAATATCCTAATAAACCCTTTGACAATTTGTGGGATGGACTTTGTTGTATGCATTTTCGAGGTATGTTAAGAGTCTGCTTAACACTTTTTAAGTTTATTGCTGAAGGTCATGCAGCTCTTGGTCACACAGGTCAAGCCCTGGTCTTTTGATTTCAAACCCATTTTATTGTATTAATCATAATCATAAAATATATTAAAATAGTTAACACTTAGTACTCCTCTTGACACTTGACTTATAGTATCTCCTTTGACCATCACAATAATGGTTTGAGGTAGGTACTCCTATGATTGCAGTTTTACAGATAAAGAAACTAGGGCACAACTAAGTAACTTATCCAGGGTCACAGAGCTCATATGTGGTAAAGACAGAATCTGGGTCTCGGCAGCCTGACTTCAGAAACTTGTTCTCAACCAACCAGCTCACTAGGCACAGACAGTGAAAAAAAGTGAGCTGAGTAAACTGCAAAACACCAATGGACAAGTATCACATTTGTTCTAGGACTTTCTGCCATGTTAACCTTTCTGCTTTTTGCTGCATATGGCAGAATCTTTCTCTGTTCTTTTAAGATCATAAGGTGAAAAACAGCTGTATCTCAAATGCACTTTACATTATGTTGCTTTCTGCTTTTCATCCATCTTTGAAATGTTTATACTATTTGTTTCTGAATTGAGAGGTCACTTAGGAATCACAGTGGGGGCTCATGGATTTCCAGCAGTGTGTCTTTCTGCCTTCTATGGTAGTTTTGTGGCACCTCTGTGGCTGTGTGCACAGGCTGGCCTTCCCTCTGAGCTTCAGATTCCCCCTCCTCCTCTTCACCCCCTGATATGCCTTGTTTCATAAATTCTCTCCTTTAGTTTATCACATAACCTACATTGTGAAACACTCAAATTCTTTTCCTGTCTTATCTTTCAGTAGAAATCTATTTGATTGGATGTGAAGGCACCAGAGGCAGAACTGTGGCAAAATTTTAAATGCTAAGAAATCCATCTCAGCTACCTGGACTTTGAGAAACAAATTGTGATTCCCTGACTCACTTTGTATTAAACTGGACAAGTTAGATGAACTAAAAAAGCTTTATTGACTTGTCTACTTCCCTCCAAGTCAATCAAATGTCCATGAATACCACCTACTCTCTGCTCTTTCTGGCTATTCAATTTATTAACTGTGTGCATAAAGTCACACAAACATAGGCAGATACCCTTAAAATGTCACACCCCTCAGATCTTAAATAAGCAGGCACTTAGAAGTTGAAAAATAAATCAAGTGCTTTGATTGTTTCCTAGTTCTTTGCAGCATAAAGGTTTATAGCACTTATCTGGGAATAGATTGTGAGTTCCTGACTGCTAACATGTCATCTACTCATCCAGGTATGTCCAATACCTGCGACGTAGTAGGTACTCACCAGGGTAGGTGTTTAACATGGTAGGTACTTAATAAATATATATTGAACCTCTAGTACTCTGTCTTTCATTGTTTACCTTGGGACTTGAGTCACACACTTCTCATTCTCTCTCTCTCACACACACACACACACACACACACACACACACGAATGCATGCACTCATACGCGCAGAGTGTGGGCTCTTAGAGAAGAAGATCTCTGTCCTATTCACCTCTGTATTCCCAAATATGGAACCATCAGATAGCAGACAATCATTAAATGATCACTAAATTGAACAGCACTAGGATTTTAATCTTTGTTACTGGTTTTATCTGCCCTTTTCCCACCCCAACTTGCCCATTTGGCTCTCAAGGCAGAGTACCAAAAACCATTGCATTAATCTAATCAAATATTCAAATCAAGTTCAGAATTATATTTTTAAATTTACCCTGGCCATTTCATAAGTAGATTTAACAACTAACTAACTGCTATCTCAGGAGGGGGAAAAAAGCATAAGCTTAATGCATTTGGTCAGACATACTGTGTAACAGATGTCCAATGTGCTGCCACGAGCTTAAATCATAAATATGATGGCTCTGTTTGGCATGGCAAAATATATTAGAAGTGTTTTATCGGTCACTGGGCAACTTGCTAGATGGAAGGGGAATAATCCTGAAAAATGCAGGAGCTGAGTCTAGTAGCATCTCAAAAGGAGCTCTGGAGAAACACAGATAATCTGCCCACAATGATTCATCAAGTTGGTCCTTTGATTCTCTAATTTGAGTGTCAAGTGCAACCATACAATAAAGAATTGCCAAGATCTAATAAGATTCTCTTCTGGCTGCAGCTTTTCCTGCTTTAACAACTGGTACTATTCATGCCTAAAGCACAAACTGAATAAATAGCTTAAAGGCTGGCAATATTTGACAGTGTCGACAATTTTTTGTTTTCCCTTGTAAGACTAAATTTTGTATGTTTCTTTCCCTGAACACATTGCATTGATAATCATCATTCACCAATAATTTTGACTTTCCTAATACTAACTATAGAAGGATGCCTCATAAGTTAAAAATAGTTCCTGTTGTATCATCAGTCCAGCCATGGATTAGTGAAGATTAAAAAAGGATTGTAATGCCTTTTTTGGCCTTGAGAAAGCTCTTATTATGCCTATGGTTCAGTTGGCCTGCTGATCATTTCCATCTTAATGTAATCGTTAACATTACACTGCTACAGGTGAGGTGTTAAGTAACATATTAATATAACTATTTTCACTGAGCTATTTCACAAGAAGTATGTTTTTAACTACATTATACATTTAACAAATTTCATTTGTAATCCAATGTGAGGGGAGGATTCCTTTAAACAGGCTAACGATGTGGCTTTCTCAACATAAAAGATAGTCTTCTTTTAAAATTTTAATTGAAGTTTTGAATGTGAGATTGTGTACTGTCAGTGCAATAGACGAACATGGGAAGAGCACCACAGGTCTTAGGAGTCTTGTAAAATACGCAGTGAGCAGTCCTATCTCTAGGAACCAAAAATCTTTCATTGGCATTAGGAAGATTCTACAGGTCCAGTTAATCATGTGGATATGACGTGTCGAATGTTTTTACACTTTAATATCATTTAGATGAACACTAAACACCTCAAAGTTTGAATAGCAATATAAATTGTAATATTTAAAACAAGTATTGAATGAAATAATTTGAATGAAAATTATGATGTAAAGATTGTATAAGAATAACAGTGTGTGAAAAAAGTAAAATTAAGGGAAAAGAGAATATGAGAAAGCTTACAATTGGAAAACTGAAACAACAAATAATTTTTTGGAAAAAAATATTTTGTGATAGATTTCCCCATGCTATGGACATTAATGCAAAAGCTACAAATAGGGCAATTGACATTTGGGCAGTTGACTTGTTTTTATCAAAATCACACAAAAAAGAAAATTTAGTTGGCAAATTTTCAAGTGGGAATCACGCTCAGAATCCAGTTGGGTTTTCCCTTTTTTATTTTTCATTTGATGATTTCATAAAAGATAAATAAGCCCTCGGACCAAGAGGTGGGTATACTGGCATGATTAACTCTCTCGCCCCAGAAATTCTGCTAGGCTAAAAGGAATATTTGGGGGCGGGAAATGGGGATGAAGAGGTCTTTAGGACCCAGCAGGCGGCGGCAGGCGGCAGTTGTGTAGATCACTGAAAGACTACCAGGGTCCGGTTCAGTTTTAATTCTGTCTCTAATCTCTGCAACAGCGGCGCTTCCTGGGTCCCGCGGCTCCCGTGTCCACTCAGCCGCCGGCGGCCGCCCAGCTAAAATCAGAGCCGCCCGCGCCCCATCACCCATCATGGAAACCCTCCAACAAAAAGTAGCCCCGGACGCATGTGCCTGAGGATTCCGCACAAAAGAGGTGCCCAAAATGAAGACCCTAATGGTGAGTCATTTGTTGCAACTCCTCTGGGCAGAGGCGGGGACCCCCGGGCGCCGCGTCCCCCGGGTGCACGGGAGAGCTCCAGGGGCGCCTAATCCAGCCCCGCGAGGTCGCCTGTTACAAAGGGATAACTTTCCACCTGCTCCGCGTCCCCTCACGATTCCCCGGTTCTGCCTGGGTAGGAATCCCAGAGCCAGGATGGAACTCGGGTTGCCTCGGCTCCTGAATCTCGGCAGGAAGTCTGAGGGACCAGGGAAGAGCTGGAGGGGTGGGCGCATTGCTCGGGGAATGGGAGATGCTCAAAAGCAACAGCCTGGCAAAAAAACTAAGAGGGGCGAGGAAGGGGGACCTTTGCAGACTTTCTTGGTTTCCTTATCGGATTTCAAACTTGGAAGTATCGCCGAGGTAGAGCCCCACGGGTCCAGAAAGGAGACGGTGCAAGGGGTTGGAGATTCCAGCAGGCGAGTTGGCGACAGGGCCCCCTTCCCAAAGTGCGAACCCACCCCTACCCTCACCACCAACGCGCTCTCCCCCCAGTAGCCAGGCGCCGCGCACCACCTGCCCTCTGCCGAGAGATCTGGGAGGTGGCGTCGGCCGAGAGCAGCTACGCACCGGGAGCATCCCCTGCGGTACGCACGGAGACGGTGCCGCCTCTGCCCGGGCTGCGCGCGGCCGAGGCTAGGACCCTGGCCAGCTCCCGCTCCAAGACCTCCCCCCGGGCCAGCCTGACAGTCCTGCGGGTGTTTCCAGCGGGTGCACTCCTCCCGGGTCAGCTCTGAGCCGCTCTCTGCTCTCTCTCTCCCGCCCGCCCGCAGCGCCATGGTCTGGCAGTGTGTTTAGCGCTCACCACTATGTGCACCAGCTTGTTGCTCGTGTACAGCAGCCTCGGCGGCCAGAAGGACCGACCCTCGCAGCAGCAGCAGCAGCAGCAGCAGCAGCAGCAAGCAGCGGCGACCGGCAGCGCGCAGCCGTCGGCGGAGAGCAGCCCCTCGTCGCGCCCCAGGGTCCCCGCGGGACCGCGACCGCTGGACGGATACCTTGGCGTGGCGGACCACAAGGTGACAGCTCGCTCGCCAACCCGCACGCCACTCAGCCGGGAATCCCGCACACTTGAGCCTGCCCTCTTTCCCCGGGCTGGGAGGCGCCGTGAGTAGGTGCCGTTCGGACACCGGAAGGCAGAGTGGACCCGTTGGGGTGGGATGGGATAGTTTCTACTGGATATGAATTCCTATTTGAAAAAGGATGCAAAGTTTTTCAGGGAGTGGGGATGGAATGAGTGAACCCCAAAGCCTAATTTCCTAACAGGAATGGGCCCTGGAACTAGAATCCTCTGATCCCCAGAATTCCAGCTGCCGGTAGTTGGGGGTGGAGGTGGGGGCGGGGGCGGTGTAGGGTGCTGGGTTCCCGAAGCCACGGGTTTGGCCGCCAAGTCGCGCCCTTGTGGGAGGAGACCCGGGAGGGTACGTGTATCGGCCCGAGCATTTCTCCGACCGGTAACCCGAGGGCGAGTAACAGCTAGTCCGCCGCCGCTGCTCGGGCTCAGAGATTCCGCTCAGACCTCTGCTTCGGATTGCTCTGAGCAGAAGTGTCCAGGCAGGCGCGGGAGGCTGGAGACGCAAACTTAGCTTCTATTGGCTTGAAACACGTCTTTGAGGGCCTGTTTTCCTCTGCCTGCCGGGAAGCCGTTACATGGCTTGGCTAATAATTAATAAGATAATTTAAAAAAAAAATTAAGCCGCCTGTCCCTGGAATAATGAATCTCTGGTTTCAATGTGTAAAGCCTCTGGGAGAATCCTAATCAAGTTTTCTGATTCTGAAAAGACAATTTAATACAGTTTAAATGTCTTCCCCTTTACTTGAAGCTGCTAATATATTTTGATTAATACGCAGTTCCACTCTGTGTGTTTTATATAAAGTTAGAGGATTTCTTGAAGCCACCCAACTATTCTGCTTTATTACTAGACTTTACAATTGTGAACCAAAGTAATATTTAGCAGGCACTCTTTTTGTACGAAAAGATTGCTCTTAACCCTACATGAGAAAGTCAAACTTTTTAAAAGTAGCAATCAAAATATTTCCATTCATTTGTGCAATGAATAATGCTAAGGATTCTGGAAGGTACAAAAGAATTTAAGACAGGACCCAGCCTTTAGGGATCTTTGCCTCGGGGGAGGGGCATACCATAAAGTATAGGTAGATAGATGATTGATAGATAGATGATAGACTGATAGATACAAATATATAGGAAATGCAAGGCATAAACTGTTAGTACTGTTGGGTATAGAGATGAGAAGGATCAAGGAAAGTTTCTTTGAAAATGTGGAATGTGCACTGGAAAGAATTCAGAGAAGCCAAAAAGAGGAAGAGATTTTATTAGGAAGTGATTTGTGGGAGGGGGCTGGTGGTAGACTCAAAATCAAAAGTGGAAAAGACCATCAGTTTTACAATTACAGCCTCAGTTTTGTAAGTTGTTGATTGATTACATACTTTGTATCTGCATATAGGAGCAACGGATAAGGGCTGGAGTTCTAGGAAAGTTTGGACAGCGGCCTCTGTGAATGGATGTAGTATTTACATGTAACTGGTATACGATGAGTGTATTGAACTTAGTGGATTTTCATGGCTATTGTCTAGTAGAACTGGCCATTAGCATGGGTGGAGTTTTGATTAAGAGGAGTGTCAAAAGGTACATTTGTTGAAAGCTTTGATGGGCCTTTGGGAACATATTCCTAATACTCTTCTTCCCTGTGCTCGTCTACTGGACAGACACTAGCTAACAACATTGATAACCTAATGCAAAATATGATGCTTTCCTGTTTGTTTTCAAAACAGTGCCTATTCACACAAATATGTTGCGTTCCATTTTCAATGTATCAGAGCCTTATTTCATTAAAATGAAGAACTTCTCTTTTTTTGGAAGGAATGTTGAAACTCTATATGAGAAAGTTAGGTAGTCTGTAGTAAAGGGTTTTATAAACTGTGAAGTCGTATGCGTCTGACAAATATATGCAAACATCCTTGGGATTGTTAACAGAGAATTATAAATGTGACCAGGAATATCTTTGCAGATAATTAATAGTAATGAAATTCTTTCATAGAAAACCAACATCTCACAAAATTCCATTCCCAAAGAGTTCAATGGGGTTTATCCCAACCCAAGCAAAAGAACAAATGCAATTTTCAAAATCTCTGCCCTCTTTCTAGGCATCATCCTAATTGTCTCACTGAGCTGTATATAAACTTCTGCTCAAAATGCAATCATCGACCTTCTCTACTATTACTATTTAGCTGGCTAGGAATTAGGCAGAGTTCCATTTCTAATGACTGTCTGAATGTGCATGTGTAAAATGTTTTTGTACTCTTCAAAAGGTGCTGTTTGATCAGGTTTATTTGGAATCTTACTATAATCTTGCTTAGGCAGAGATTTGTTAGAATATTACTAAGAATTTTTTTCCGTTAACACTAGGGAGGGTAAAAATGAAAGTTTTTCTATTCTTGTTATGTTACCAGATGATACTCTGATTGCTTTTTTGGTTTTTTTGTTTTAACTCTCACATCAGGCCTTAGAAAAATTACAGGATGTGCTGAATGTGATGACCAACAAGCCATATGCTGCTGCATATTGAATCAGAATTCCAACAGACTTTTTATTTGCCGTTGATTTACAGAATCTGGAGAGAGCTACAGATACTATTTAGGAATATGTTCACATCTCCATGGCCAGAGGTCCCAAAGTCTGCTAAATATGTAGTGTTTCTGTACAGCTATATGATGGTATTAACGTTATAACTCCAAGGTTAAATTCAACAGGTGGTCCTAATCCCAAACACCTGAATTTCACAAATGACAGCCTGTCTGCAATGATAGTCTTGTCTCATATGGCTGCAGACTAAATTACTGTTGAGATTAAATCACTATGTGCTTTTGTTGAAAGACATGCTGCAAGTCAAGCCAGTGATGAGCAATATGTGTTGGAGCTTAAAATATCACTTTCCATGGTCATATTTCCTACTTCCTCTTTTACAGACAATGTGAGCTGAAATTGTAATTACAGTAGGACCAAGTGAAGGGTACTTGGAGCTTCTTATGATAATGAAGGCATTTCATTTTCTGTTAGATTCTTTCTCTCCAATTTCCAATCCCTTTCCCCCAAACCTTTTCCCTCACATGTTTTCACCAGTTCATTTCCATCTTGTTTTGTCTGTCATTGCAGCAACTGCATCTGTATCTTGCCATTACTTCTTGGTTCCTGTTTTTAAAAGCCATTGATTTCTAACCTTATTGGCCAGACACAAGCAAAGAAGCCAATTTCCATAGCTTTGGAAACCTTCTGCATTTAGAACTGCAGCACAATGTAGAACCAAACTGAAACACACACAGGCACTCACTCAATCAAGTGACCCTCCCAGGAAAGCTCCAAGTCTCCCAAGCAGAGTGGAAGGGGCATGGAGCACCATTTTATTTCCAGCCTGGATCTGGTCTGGATAGATAAAGTCATTTGCCATCTGGTGGACTCTGTGAAATGAAACTCTGAGCTGATTACCATTTCCAGTGGACAGGAGCCCTTATCACAGAAGGCCCATTTGTCACCTGAATTGCCCTTTTCTGAGATGGCTTAGGAAAGGGCAATGATCAATGGGGTCTGAGGCTGAGCTGCTATCTCCCTGCTTCAGTAGTAACTCCCAGGAATGGATTTTATACATACTTGTAACATGCTTCTTGCTTCTTACTTTGCTTCTTTCCTTTTGTAAGTCTTATTTATTCAAGCAAAACAAACTGCTTAGAGGTGATGGTACTATAACTATTAATTGGTAGATGTCCAGTTGGAATAAAGCAGATCGATGCCAGAGTTGAAAAAGAATTCAAAACCAGAACAAAAGGGCACATTTAACTTACTTTGAAATTATGGTATAAGTATTCTTCCTTTAGGAAACCATATAAATTCTCAAATACACGTTTATACCATTTATTAAACTCTATTTTATGGTATTGGAGTCATCCAATGGATTATAAATAATTTGGACCTTAAATAAATTCAAAGGGAGCTCATTTTCAGTGCTCAGGTATTACAAAATATAATCAGCCCATGATAATGAAATAATTTTTTCACAAAACATCAACCCAAAGGCATCATGTAATAGACTATTTTTTCCCCATGGGTGAGGAGTTGTAATAACGTGATTGCTTTGGGAGAACTGTTTATATAACATGTATTAAAATATTAATCTTCTTTAATTTTATGAGAGCCAGGAGTATTTATCCAGCTCCCCACAGGAGGAGTCCCAAGATACCTCCATGCCAAAGCCCAGACCACACCTGGTGGGTGAATCTGACCTGGCTCCCTCTTGAGTACGGGTATTCTGATCTACTTGATGATCCTTAAACACTCATTCTGCCTCAGAACTTTTGCACTTGCTGTTTCCTCTCTCTGTAAAGCTCCTGCTTAAGATCTTTTACATGGTTTGTGTCTTCTGGTCATTCAGCCCTCAGGTCAGATGTCATCTTCCTGTGGCCCTCTCCTCAACAGCCTTTAAATAGCCCCCTCCTTAACAGTCATTCTCTACTGTATCAGCCTGTTTTATTTTCCTTATAATTCTTATTATCTGAAATAATTTTAAAGTTTAGTTGTCTGCTGTTTATCCTCCCTGCAAGAGAATCTAAGCACTTCGATAGCAAAGAATTTGTACATCTTGTTGACCAGTTTAACTCTCTGCCATAGATCAGTATCTGGTATTTAGGGGGCACAGAATAAGTATTCATTGAAGGAAAAAAAGGAAGTAGGTTTGTGTGTGGGGAGAGTGTGCCAAGAAGGACAGAGCTACCTCACTTATGTCAAGTCCTTTCTCCAAAAGAAACATCAGTGTAATCCCAAGGCCCTGGTATGCCTCATCTTTCTTAAATTTGGTATAATAATAATATAATAATGGGAAGGAAAGAAAAGAAATTATTTAAAACATAAGAATATTTGAGAATGAGGTTTAAGACCTTATGCTTTAACAGCCTTCCTTTACAATTCTTGTGCACATTAAAGTTTGAAAATCACCATTTGAAATATTTT